AAAGCCCCTGTGCTCCATGGCAGTGGAGGACCAAACGAGATCATCTGTTGCTGCCTTGCGGGGTAGTCATTCAACTGTTGCTGGTTCTGAATAGCTGGAGCCAGGGAAAAGGGAAAATCTACCCGAGTTGTTGTTTGCTGCTGAGCATAGGAGGAAGATGAGAGATAAGGGTTATGTCGGTCAAGAGTCCTCGTCTTCCTAACGCTTCTCTGAGACGTCGACGAAGCTTCTCTAAAATACATGTCGGAGCCAGAAGTTGAATCTTTACCCTTGACGCTACTAAATTGGAGCTCCTGCTCCTCCAACTCCATCTCATGATCCATTTTCTCTGCTTCGATGGATTTGCCCTTGTTCTTAGCAGCACTAGTAGCCATAGATCTCTCTCTCACTCGAAGAATGTGTCAGGAGAGGAATCAGTGGCTTCCTCTTTGTCTTTGGGGAAACAGAGCAAGGGACAGGGAGAGATGTGTTGTTGTGTGGTTATGAAATCGTTTTCCCCTTTATATATCAATTAACTGAGAGAGGATGTTGACATGACATGTATCACTAACCAAAATATCCAAAACCCATCTCAGGTCCTTTCCTCGGTTTTTTGGACGGTGAAACATTCTTCCTTTTGTCTTATTAATTATTATTTAAATATGTTCCTATGGTCGGCGAACCGCGGCTTAGGATGATGGCAGGAGATGATGAGATTGGAGCCATTGATTACGACGTAACCTGTATTTTAATTCTGCTTCAAAATTAAGGCTCAAGGTCAAGGGTTAGCAATTGGTGTCAAAGTCAGCTTTGACTTTTCTTATTTTCTTATTTTATAGTCCTCCCACCTACAAAAGACAAACAAAACCGACCAAACACAAATAAAAAAAAGGCTTCTACATCCTATCTCATTCAACAACATATTTCAACTCATTAAAATATCTATTGCATTATGATATCAGTATCAACATACATATATGTAAAATATAGAATTTCGAATCACGAACTAACTAACACAAATAAGGATATTGTGATGAATCAATATTTAGCCTAAAATTAATTGGAGAATAAATTTGTGTAGATTTTATAATTTTCAAAATTCTTCCGAATTCTTAAATTCTAAGTAAAATTCATGTTTATTTGTTTAAGAATTTTCTAATTCCATTTGAAATCCTCTATGATTATCATTGATTCTCTAATTCCATTAAAATCCCATGTTCTTGGGACATGGATTTTATACATTTTTATTTATAGAACTCAGTTTTCAAAATACCATGGATATCCATGAGATTCTTGAAATCCATATAACAAAAATTAAAAAATTTTAAAAAAAAACCACACGCTCAAACACAAATCACACACAACATCATATCATAATCCTCCAAATTCCATACACTTTCATTCCTTTCACAAATCTTTGCTTCAAGCTATACATCAACATGACTTACAGTAATGAAAGTTATAAACCAATTGGTTATGGTTTATATGCTCACGTTAAATTTTTGTTTTTTTTGGAAATTCTCTATAAAATAGCATATACAATATTATTTTATGAAGAGAATTCTAGAAACAAAAAAAAAATAGTAAATCAATATAATCAAGTACAATCAATAAGAATCCATAACAATCCATAAAAATATTTGATAAGAATTTTTGAAATTTGTCTTAAATCCACTAAAATTTGTAAAATCTCTGAACTTTTAAAATTTATAAAATCTATACAAATCCATTCTTCGATAATACCTCCTAAATCTCATCAAAGTAGATATATTTTGGAAAATTCGCTAGGACACCACAC